TATAGGTAACGTACATTTCTTTCTTATCTCTACGATTGAAAATGTCTTTCATTCCGTAAACATATTTAAAAAAGTTGCTCAAATTGTTCAATTTCATGTTACATTATCTAAGTAGGAGTAATTAATCTATTGAAATCTCAAATTTAGCCCATCAATTAGTAAAGGAGAACAAAACTATCAGGTGTATAATCTTTGTGTTTGCTTTTAATGTGGTTGAAATAAAATTAAGCGACAGGGACATTGCACAATAAAAATTATTTATTATCACAAAGAAAATGTATTTATTGTTATGAAAAGAAATATATATGATACAAGGTTTAACTTATCAGAAAATTTTTACTTAAGAATCAAAACTATATATTACACAGAGGGGATTCAGAATAATATTTGCCTCGGCGACAGTAACGTACATTTCAAATAGGCTACTATATTTGAATTTGGAACTCCTTAAATACCCTTTCAGATCGATAATTATATGAATTCTTATTCATTGTTATATGACTATTTATAATGTTGATTTAAAAATTACATCAGTGGTATTTCTTTTAAATGAAAATGAGGCGACATTATTTGAGCCCTTATATTGAGAATGGGTGTTTATTCAGCCAAATTTTATTCCTCAGAAAATGTCTAGGCTACTACGGAAGCGCATTTAGGACCTATAAAAAAAAAATTGAATTCGTTATATCGATTTTTAGAATTCGTTATAACGAATATAATTTGTTATAACAGATTCATTGAAGTCATTATAACGAATTTAATTTGTTATAACAGATTCTTAGTTATAACCAATTCAAGAATTTGTTTTAACGAATTTTTAATTGGTTATAACGAATTCAACAAATCTGTAATAACAGATTAAATTCGTTATAACGAAATCAATAAATCTGTTATAACAAATTAAATTCGTTAAAAGGAATTCAATGAATCTGTGATAACAAATTAAATTCGTTTTAACGAATTCTAAAAATCGTTATATAATCAATTATATTATTGATAGGTCCTAAATTGGCTTCCGTAGGCTACAGCGTTGTTGCCTACATGGATTATACGCCACTGTTTATTACATAATATATTTATTTTTTTCTGAACGAGGTAAGTTATTGACTGCTAAGTTGATGTAATAAGAATTTCATCTGTCTCGTATTAAGTCAGCATTTTATAAGTTCTTTCAAATTGGTCGATTCAATAAAGTTGTCAAATAATTGTACTGAAATGTACTGATTGACGTTTTTCAGACATAATGTTAAGCGATTATATCACCTAATCAAATGAATTTTTTGTTTTAATAGAGATTTAATATGTTCATCTTTTCTGTTTTTCTTATCTTTTCAAACCGATCTATTGACTGACGGGTATTTCGGTTTTCGAACTTAGTTGTAACATTGCACAGACATAGTATGCGAAACAATCATTTTATTTGATCTTTATTATACTCACCGTCAATAGAAACGCACCACTCTAATTATAAGTGAAAATTATAAATGGAATAAAATTATGTCCCAAAAAACTTGACATCTTTCACTTTGCCAAATCAGTAATAAAACGATTATATGATTTTCATTCTATAACCGGAAGTTGATTTTAGGCCCTCTTAATTAAACACTCGTCAGACAACTTTTAAAACATCCCGACCATCTAATTAAAATGTGCTAGTCCGTCATATACAGCATATGCAGGGGGAGGGGGGGGGGGGGCTGCCCCCGACGTTTTTTCCGCAACATTACCTTTACTATAGGAAATGTTCATTGAAAGGAATGCCCCATTACTTTTTACCATAGTACAGTGTTAAAGGAAAATGTAGGGGAAAAATTGGAATGAAAGTAACTTGGCTTTGAAAAAGTTGACCACCCCACCCCCCATCCCCCCCACCCCCACCCCCACCCCCCGAGTTTGGGCAACTTTAAGTTTTTCGTTTTTTTTTCTTCTTTTTTTGCTTGTCAACATTTTCAGGTTAGTAAAAAAAATTCTCTTGCTGCCCCCCCCCCCCACTTTCAAAAACGATGCTACGTGCCTGTACCATGCATTTGATTTATTAAATAAATGTCTTTATCTTAGCGAAATGAATATTTTTTGGCATATTAAAATGCCTGTTTTTTTCAGATACCGAGATTGAATTTTCTCTAATTTGGTGTAGTTTAGAAGCCCTAAGACTTCCGGTCAAGGAACTGTCATTAATGCTATGAAATACATGAGCCCGAAAAGGCGTTCTGTAGAGTATACGTGTATTTGCATCTGTAGCTCTCTATTTTCGTTATTTTGAGAATTTCCAGCATTAACAATGAAATGCGTGCTTTCAGTCATTTTGAAAAAAAAGGCATCAAAACTGGAAAAGAAAGAAGGATATCATTCCGGGATTTTAGTACAATACTTATGATTAACAGGTACAAAACATTAAAAACCCAAAATATTCATTTGTCAATAATTTTATAAAAAATGCTAATCTTTTATTTCTGTAAAAAGGGCTAAAATCAACCTCCGGTAATGGAATGAAAATCGTTCAACCGTTAAATAACTGATTTGGCAAAGTTAGTTACTGTCGTAATTTTTTTTAGTACATAGATATATCCCGTATATAATTTTCACCCTAAAATTAGGGTGGTGCGTTTCTATTGACGGTGAGTATATATTGTTTTATTCGATCAGAGTTACTTTACTTAATTACTGTGGGGTGCGGAGACCGTTCCCCTGTCACAACAAACAGGTGCAGACACAAAAAAAAGACACACACCCCCCTGCTTTTTATGGCCCTGAGTGCCGAGTATAGGACAAAATTTGCAGCTCTCCACAGGCAAGTGGCGGCGTCTCCATATGAGTGAAAAATTAAATGTTAACGAAAAGTGAAAACGTTAAAAAATATACAATCAATCAATCTTTTTTAAATAATACAGATGCACCACCTCTATGTATTATAATTTACAAAAATTTGAATTCATAATGACACGGGAACCTCTTGTAATATACAATTGGAAACACTTAATACGAAAAATAAAAATAGGTAATAGAACAATTATTTAATGACTGGACAGTAAATAGACCAAAATTTTTTTGCTCACTGCACCAGGGGAAAAATATTTTTGACTATTGACTGCTCAGGCATCAAATAATTATATAATACTTACACACTGAATTGTCGACGGATTTTACCGTAATTTCCTGGTCATGACTTAAAGCACACGGCGAGTGTGACATGTTGGCAGGGGATGCTCACTTTTCCATGGCACCTGATCCCACCTCTGAAGTTTCAAGATGTGTGTTATTTACTCTAAAACTGCACATTCAATGGGTTTTTGAGCAGGAATACTGTTCGTTATCCCCATATATTACCTCACTTTAAAAGTGCTTGTAGACACCATTAAAAGCATTCAGCAGACACCATTTCGAATATTTTTTAAGTTATAAAAAATTTAAGAGAAGAAATCTGACTGTGGATCATTACGATATTATGTAAATCAAGATTTTCCTCTTTAGATCTTGTTTAACGAAATCATATTGCAATGGGCATTATGAAGAACACATTTGTGTTCGCCTTTTTACTAAAGAGAATTTTTTTTTCCAAATTTGTAACAAACTTGCAAACATACAATTAAAGTGTCCCATTCGTTTTTATGCAGATCATTTATATTCTTCAATAATTATATGTTGGAAACATCTAGAATAAACCTAATGTTCATAATGTTGAATTGGTTTAAATGTACATGTGTAATATACTTAAGCACAAGACATATAACTTACAAGAACAAAATTTAATTAGCTGTAATTTGATAATTAATAAGCTCAAGCCTTATGAGATATTTATAGAGAGAAACTAATATATGTATGAGGGCCTTTCAAAAATTACCCGGACTTCTTACACAGAAAAAATATTTGTCGACATAATCGCGCAAAATGTCACACAAATGTAAACGTATCTTCTCTTATAATGTCTTCAAAATTTCATATCAAAATGTTGTCAATTGATGTCAATTTTGGTTGATTTATCAGAACATCAAAATCTTCGACGTCACGGGCATTCTAAAAATAATATGATCTTTCGTTTTCTCACTTTCCCATGAGTTCCTGTACAGTTTAAGCTACGTTATCTAATCAACATCCATACACCATTTTTTGTCAAGCTTATACTCTATAAAATAAGTAAAACAAATCCATTTTTGTTTTAAAATTAAAAAATGCAGGTACTTATGAGATAAAGTGTGACATTGGTCACTGCCAATCATGTTCTTTAAAGTCCTTATAAAAATTTCGTCGATAATCTTCCTCCTGTCCTCCCATCCCGTCCTACCATTTAGCCTTTTAACAGAGGTCTAAAATTCAAATTTGCTATTTGTAAACAAATGCCACAAAAACCCTAGTTTTATACATGTTTTATAATTTAACAAAAGTGAGGTGCTCCGTAAATTCAGGAGACGTCATTTTCAGAGTCGTATTCAAAGGAATCACATCAGAGAAAAATCACAATATTTTTGTTAGTACTTCAAGTATCACGTCAGAAATAAATATTAGAACAATATAAAGATACATTTGAGAAAATTATCGAAAAATGTCGCAATTTATAGAAAATTAATGAATTGAATATTGGATTCCGCATGCTTTTGTTTCAAAGTTTTTGTCGTGCTCCGTACCTCTCTATCAGCGATATCAACACAGCGATAATTTTAGGTTAAATTTTACCAAATACGGAATTTTTTTCTAAACTTTATTAGAATCTTTAAGATACATATCTCTGCAAAATTTCAAAACTATATGACGTCTGTAAGAGTAAATAATAGCAGAGTCCGCGTATTTTTTGAACAGCCCACGTATATACTGGTTTAACTAAAATCTTTCAAATTTTACCTTGTGCTTTTGGTAAAAAAAGAGGCATATTAGATACATTTGTGTGAAATAACCTAGCAAAAGGAACATTTTCATCAAATAATAACTATAATAATTAACATCAGGAAAGTTCTGAATGAGGGACAATTAAAAAGCTTGATGTCAAAAAAGACAAGAAGACTTACGAGATGCATAAGTAGTATCATTTGCCTGCAAAGTTACGTTGTCTAAAGCCGCCATGAAAATAATTAGTGGAATTATGTACTGCCAAATCATCGTTGTATTTAAGCCAGAGTCTGGAGGCTAAATCAAATTTACAAGCAGGGGATTTGCATTTCATATCTCGACTCTTTACATGACGGAAAACTGATTAGCTTCCGGTGTCATTTCTATGTCAACATCTAAATTACTACATGGTATTTTAAATTTCCTTGTGCTGGTCATTCGTTTTGCATAGTATTTCTACTTTAAAATTAAGAACAGCAATTATGTTCAAAAGTTTATTGAAACAACATAAGTTTTCAGCAAGGGCAATATGCATGGGTTTCTAAAACAACAAAAAATTGGTTAAAGTGCGACTTGTTGATAAGCATCCCCAAAATCTATGTATACACGATGATCGCTTATGATTTTGATTATAGAATTTTTAGCTTCCCTGGCGTTCTCTAAGTTGTGCAGTTTTTGAAGTTAACTTCTTATTCTGCGATAGAAACTGGAACAACGATGCACAGCAATTTAATTTAATTGAAATAAAGATCAGGTTTGGAGGAAAACTGACCCTGTTAACCTTTTGTAAAAATACAACATAACTTGATGATCCGAATGCTTATAAATAAGATGTAGAAATTTTCAATTTATCCACTAGACAAAATTGCTGACGTACCACTTAATTTTTTTTTTGTGAATTGAACATTTGCCTAATCGGTATATTAGTCTATATAATACGCCATTTTTTCCAATACAATGGGATTGACAAATGTCATAGTGTCATAACATAACCCCAAATTGACCTTCTTGCGCAAAAACCAATTTCCCGACACGCACTGTGTACCTTTTTTGTCCAAATAATTGCATTGCTAATTACAGATAGTGATTACTCACAGTTTACTTGTAAAAAAAAATCTAATAATATTCAGTGATTGACTATTATATCGCCTGCTAGTCATCCAATGCCCTGGTGTCCATACCCAGTCCACTAAACTTCCGGTTGCCCCAATTTTGTGGAACAACATTAAAATTGTGATGTGGTGTTTACTTAATGGCTTGGCCATCTAAAGTGAACATTTTTTTTGTTTACTAATCTATTTGCAACAATTTTATACTGTAAGAACACATATTTTATCATTGTTTTAATTTTTATTACAATTTTTTTCCAACGAAACTCCATGCAGACACCATACCGTCTGTTTTATCACGCTATTCCAGGATCAAATGCCGCATATGGTATTTTTTCCCCTTATTTTTAGTTCGAACAAACATAAAGAACAAAAATACAAAGAAAACTTATTCTCCCAAATAAGTATGGACACGATTTTCATGTTTTCTTTCAAATAGTTATTATTCAGTTAACATTGTAGTTATTTATCAATTAAGACATTTAACTGGTTTATTTTTGATTATGTAACGTTATAATATATCAAATACATCATAAACAAGCTTTGATAAGTAAAATACGAGGGGGTATCAAAAAGTTCGTGGATTGGCGCCATAAAATTAAAACCGCTTTAGGTACATCGATGAATTTTAAAATATCTGGTTAGCATAATCTTTTCTATCTATAGAATAAACTGCAAATCATAAATTTTATTAATTTATAAATTAGTAATGTTTTTGTAAGCTATGGTATGACCAGGCGGCGCAACCTCGAAAACGACGTTTTTTCGACCGAAGTGTAGCTGAGAAAAAATCTTTTGATATGAACGTTTAACGTCCAAAATTCTCGTTAATTCAGGTATATGTTGGGACACTATTGCTTCAAAAAAATTAGGAAATTAAACGAGACTTACCTTGGTTAAGGCGAAGTTTGATTACAATTATTGGAATAAATAAAAGGCACTGTAGAGATAAGGTGAATAGTACTGCGCAGCCGCCAAGTCATTGCTTCAAAGCTAAAAATTTTTGGGTTGATAGATTTGCAACAAAACATCAAACCCAAATTCATTTCACTAATAATTTCAAATAATACATTCACCACCTGCAGGGTGGGAGGGAGGCACCTTATCTCTACAGTGCCTTTTATTTACTCCAATAATTGGAATCAAACTTCGACTTAACCAAGGTAAGTCTCGTTTAATTTCCTAATTATTTTTCGTAAACGTCACTTCCGAGATAATGTGAATCTTTAAAGCACAACACAAAAAATTTTCAAACTGAAATCAAATTCTTTATTTTAATTTCAAAACAGCATTTGCATACTTATCATCATTCAGCACAGGTTTGTCATAAAACTTTCTGAAGGTTTCAACATCAGACCAACCTACTTTGGACAAAATATCATCGACAGGAACAAAGTTCTCTTTTGCTTTAGATGCTGATGCAGATCTAACACTATGAGCCTTAAAAATAGTAGTATCAACACCTGCAGAACACATCACTGTTTTTATCCAACGGGCAACAGTATCTCTTGATACTTCCTTGTGTGGTTGTACATAACTGATAAAAAGTGAATCACACTTGTTTCTAATTCTTGCAGTCCTTGATAAGTATTCACATAAAACAATATATACACAAAGCCTCCTATCTGGAGGATATGATTTCAAAGCCATGTCAGACATACTACTGTTAGGTCTACATGTTTTCAATAAATCACTAAAAGTAAAAACAAAGCTATTTTTCTTCTCGTCATATTACTAAGTTTCATACATGAAATAGTTTGTACTCAACTTGCACAAATTAAACTAATTAACATAACTAACTTCAGTGTCAAATCTTTCAAACTTAAGTATTTTACAGGTGACAATTTTCTCAAATACTTGATAACAATAGATGCATCCCAAGTATGTACATATCGAGATTTTGATGGTCTCAAACTAAAAACACCCTTCATAAATCGTATAACAAGTGGATGACATCCAACAGTAAACCCATCAAAAATCAGTCCAACAGAAGATAAAGCCCCTCGGGCAGTATTAATAGCACTATACACTAAACTTAAGCGAAAAAGATGTGCTAAAAATTCAATAACAGTTTCTATAGTTGTACAAAATGGATCAATCGATTTTTCACTACAGTACTGAAACCATCTCGTATAAAATGTTTTATAATGTTTCTTGGTTCCCGACTTCCATGATGCCAAAAGGATCGAGGCTGCTTGATGAGAAATTCCTCGTTTTTGGTACTGCAACCGGACAATCGACATGCCATCAGCACTAACGAGTCTTTCAGAGGATGCTGCACATCTGTGCCTGGAAGTGTCAACAGATTGTCCATCACAGGTAAAATCACCGGATGATCCACCAGTTTTTCTAACACACGATTGAACCATGGCTGTGTTGACCACACTGGAGCCACCAGTACACACTCTGCTTGGTCCTGACAAATCTTCCTCACCACACGTCTAATGAGGCTGAAAGGAGGATTAAGATAACCATAAATGTTTGCCCATGAAAAACTAAATGCATTAACATAACGCATTTTGTAGTTGGGCTCAAAAAATCCCAAACCATTTGGTTAGTTTTCACAGTCACTAATGCTGAACAGTTTTCAGGACGATTTGTCGTTTTTATTAGCTCATTATATCGTTCTTCCTCGATTCCCTCTCGGAACCAATCTGTCACGAGATTAGCTAGTTCATCATCAATCGGTTTATCACAAGTCTCTTTAACTTTAAGTTTCTTACCAGCATTGACGTACTTGTTTTCCGTATCAGTCAGAATCTCGTCTGATGCGCGCTTCCTCGATGCCGCTACACCGGAAGTACCCGGTTCGTCCGGGGTATCGTCCTAACGATCCACATATTCTTGGTAATCATAATCATACAGATTTTCTAGCTCTGTCATACGATCCTCTTGTTTCTTTTGATTCTCTTGAATCGCTTTTAATATATTGAGAATCTCATTCTCGTTATTTGGCGCGGAACTATCATGTCCTCCGCCATGACCACGAGAACACGTGGAAGTGCCAGTCGAAGTCGACGAACTCGACGACGCACGTACGTTAGACAGTGTCTTCTCCGAAGACGATGATTTGTTCGGGGCTTTTTTCTTTCCCTTGACCGGTGCATTATCATCGTCAGGGTTAGGAACGTCCGCCATGATGCACGTGGTTTGATCTTTCAAAACCGATGAAAAAATATCTGACCACGGCAGACAAAATCCCCCCCCCCCCCGAATACTGATCTGACTACGTCAGAAACAAAAATGAACTCTGAAAAAGTTCTAATAATATATTGACCTCGTCAATATGTAATTAAATGTATCAATAATGATCGAGCAAATAAGTCCACGGCTCCGGCTACATTCAGTTCAATGACTTGGCGGCTGCGCAGTACTATTCACATTATCTCGGAAATGACGTTTACGAAAAATAATTTAAAGTTTTCACTTCATTCTGAAAGTTCTTTGAAAATTTATCATAAATTTGACATGGAGTGTCCAAACAAATAAGTCCTTGAAAATGGCGTCAAAATGGGGGAGGAATTTCATTTTGCAACATTCTATAAAGTTTTGGCCCTGAAAAAAATTGGTATAGACCTAGAAAATGTTTCCACTGGTTTTGGAGAAATTAAATGCATCCAGAGTTCTTGTTTTTTTAATGCCAAAAGAGATTAGGAGAAAAGGGATGCACAGTTAATGTCGATTTGTGGTCAAGGTGTGAAAATTCAATCACGTCAAAAAATGACGTTGATCATATGATGTAGATATTAAACTCCCAAAAGTAAAATATGCTGGCACAATCGAGCGAGGATCTCTCCCTATGTATCATCCAATTGCATTATTATATGCATTGAAAACCGCTGTTGCTGACATTGTAAAGTCATATAAACAAGATGGGTTTAAGTCCTTACTCAACTCCAGGGAATCTCATCAAATTAAGTGTATGAGGTATAACAAGCGGACAAGCTAAAATTTTCAACATTTCTTAATTTTTTTGTTGTTTTATGTCCCTTATAAATTTTGAAAGTACATACTACAAAGTACTAATTTTATAGCCTCAGTCTACGAACTTTTTGATAACAACTTGTATTACTTTCATCTGGTGGTGTGTTAGCAATTCTGTTTAGTGTATAGTCTAAAGGTTAAAGGTTTACAATTCAATAATCTGTTAACAACAGGACAAACCTAAATGACACATACTATCATATTCTTTAATCCTTTTTATTAGTATATTGGTCAAACAGCCA